ACAGCAATGGAGAAGAACCATCTTCACTTATGAAAGTCGCTACTTTGTTTCAACGGTGGATGGCAGAGTCAGGCACTGGCGAAGGAGGGGCGAACGCTATGCTGATGCTTGTGTTATGGAACGAGACCTGTGGGGCGGCCCAAGCATCATGGTTTGGGGCGGAATCGGACTGAACCAGAGAGTGGGACCTGTGGTCTTTCAGAATATTGGTCCAGATTGACAAAGTCCTCAGACCCGATATCGTGCCTTTTTTTGCCCGTCATCAAAACCACACCTTTCAGCAAGACAACGCCCGTCCCCACACTGCCAAAGTCACCAGGGACTCCCTCCAGCAGCACAACATCCAAATCATGCCTTGGCCTGCCCTCAGTCCGGATTTGAATCCCACTGAACACTTGTGGGATGAGATCCAACGCCGACTCAACGACGTACGACCAAGGCCCACAACTACAGCAGAACTGCGTGTAGCGTTCCTGAGGTTATGGGCCCATATCCCAATGGCCTTCATCAATAGGCTAGTCCACTCCATGTACAGGAGATGTGTGGCTGTAGTCAACGCCCGTGGTGGCCACACCAGGTACTGATTTTGAACCCCCCAGCTGTGATGTCTTCGGGTGCCTCCCCAAATTCATAATTCGCCAAAACATTCCCCAGACTGTTAATTTCATGTGGGTCAAACACTGACTTTCTCCGATGTCTTTACTTACATATATACAGCTGCTGAACAAAAGTTTGTGACATTCACAAATTTCGTAACAGTTGTTGCATTCGTTTCCCCAAAAAGTATTAAAGATGGTCTTTTCATGTCAAATGCATTACAATTACTGCTCAAGTTGCGGAGGTAATTTCTACAGGTATCGCCAGTCTGTCTCGGTGAGTACATTCTTTTTGAACATGTACTTTCTAATGTTTATGAAACAACTAAACTGCATAATTCTTCGAAACATTAATTCTTTTTGAATGTAATATACTCATTTTGGAATCTAATATAAAGATACTTACAAAATTCCTACACTGTACAAAGGGTTTCATGACTTGATGTCCGGTGCCATTAAAAATTGGCATTACCCAAAAAGATTTGATCTGTTTTCTTTTGCAGAATTGTCTTAGATAACGGATTTTTTCAATATCTGCTGCCGCAAATATGACAAAGCAAAGAAATTTAACTTTTAGTGAAAGAACCCGGATTGTCACCCTCAGGCACACTGGACTGAAATGGAAGGAAATTCAGAAAGTGATGGCCGAAAAATACAATTGCAGTTCCACAATACATGGTATGATAAAGTTGATGAAAAAATGTGATGCCACAGGAGATGTTATTGATGCACCCAGGTCTGGCAGACCAAGATGCACAACAGAAGGAGAAGACAGATTGATACGCAAACAGTGTATGATAAACAGATTCTCAACTCTCAACATTTTGAGGGGTATTGTGCGGAAAAGTGTTGGTTTGCGGATCAGTCACATGACAATCTCAAGACGTCTACAACAGTTTGGGTTGAAATGTTACGTCCCTTGTAGAAAACCCCTTCTGAATGCAAGGCAGAGAAAACTGAGACGGGACTGGGCAAGAGCACACGCACATTTCAGAGTGTCAGATTGGAACCGTGTACTTTTCTCCGATGAATCTATTTTCAGATGTTTTAGTAATAGGCGTAGGATGAAAGTAAGGCGTCTCCAAAATGAGAGATACCGCACTTATTGTTCACAGGTGACCGTAAAACACCCACCCCAGGTTCATGTTTGGGGACTCATGTCAGCAAATGGTACCGGTATTCTTAAAAAGGTGCATGGTACTCTTAATTCCCAGAAATATCAGACTGAGATCATCAATGACCTCAAAACACATTGTGAATGCCTTGTATTTCCGAGTAAAACATTCCTATTTCAGCAAGATAAAGCCCCTGCCCATTTTTCCAAGAGCGCTCGTGTGTTTTTGGCTGCCAGAAACATACCATTATTGGAATGGCCTGGTGATTCCCCTGACATGAGCCCTATTGAGACTCTCTGGGACATTATTGGCAAGAGAGTTGCTAGGGAAATGCCTACATCAAGCCAGGAGCTCTGGAATTTGGTAAAGAAATATTGGTATTCTGTCTCAAAAGATACCTGCCGTGGTCTCTTGGAATCGATGCCTAAACGAACAAAGGCACTACGAAAAGCAAAAGGGGGTAATACTCCTTATTGAATGTACTTTCTTCTGATACCAATTAGCGCTACAATAAAAGTATTAATAACCTTGTAATATGTGTATAAAGTCTTCATAGCCATGTAAACATAGCAATGTAACAAACTTTTGTTCAGCAGCTGTAAGCATTTGAAAATAAAGATATTTATATGATACATCCACATGACGTTTCTTTTGCCTTTCAGTGTAGATATGAAAAGAACGATTATTGTGAGGCTTTGAGTACACTGCAAATTAAATGTAACTGCACCAAAGCTGCACACAACGTTCAAACACAGCGTGCAGCTTTGATGCAATACGGTATAATATGAATAATACCCATTATGCCCTCTGTTGTGGCTGGGCACGAGAGAAGATGGTATATTCAACCGTTAATCAAGAAGTAGTAAAACATTTTTTTCTGAAACCAAAGTCACATTGTATTTCAGCGTTGATTTCTCTTTTTCGGAATTTAAGGGACATATATAAAGTGTAATATGAGCTACAGGAAACCCAAATAAGCAAACTGTATCCTTGTGAAACGATCAGACAGATATCCATTTCAAAATACATTTCCAGGTTTGCCATCAGTTTGTATACTTCGACTAGCTTTTATTTCTGTTAATATTATCTATCGTAATTAATCGACGTTGCATAGAAGGTACCGATCCTATGTGCTAGAGAAAGCGATTGTGATAACTTTGATTGTGTAACTGACATTGTAAACCTATAGAAAGTGTGTTCTGTGTTGTGATTGGCTAATTTGGGTCACATGACCAAATGTCAAAGGGTGAAAATATTATTTGAATTCCCTGAAGCAAGCGACCGAATCACTGTGTAGGAAATAGAGATTACTAGACGAGTGTCTGTCAGATACCATTGATCTTACAAGTTGTTTCAAAACGTATCTAACGAGCGAAAGCGAGTTAGATACGCTTTGTAACAACGAGTTGTAAGATCAATGGTATCTGACAGGCACGAGTGCAGTAATCTGTTTCTTTCACACCCCAAAATAGCACCTTTTTAGCATCGAACCGATGGATTTGTCATGATTGCAGTAGTGCATTATACATGACACCACTGTCATAAGTGACTTCATCCTATGTGCTGCTTACTACTCATAAATAATGTGACCCGACACAAAAAGGGATATCTGGATTATCAAGGCGATGATAAAAATGCAAACTAGACAAAAACCAAGAACACGCTCGGTGCCGAGTTGAAAGTTTACACCTCAAAGAAATTACCAAATATCTACAACAATGTTTACTTCCGTATGACATCACTACCGGTGACCGACGTTTACAAAATGGCGTGTTCACTGACAACAGTACGCGGGATTTCCAGAGTAGGATTTTCGTTGATTGAGGGATCGTATACACATAAATGGGTCACGTAAGTAATCAGAAGCTTTCTGACAATCTACATACTGTTATTTGTTTACCGTGTTTTCCAATGTAAGAATGAGAGAATTAGTCAGAAATGCAGATAACTACCGTCATCGTTGTGCGTGATTTAGCGTCAGTCATGGCGCCACAAAGGACGGGAACTTTTGTAAACGGCTTCGGTTGAATTTACCACATCATTGTGACGCAAAAGATATGACGTCACAGTCGTATATACAAAAGCGCCAAAATCTCAAGCTCTCTTTTGTCTCCAAAACGTAAATACATTCCCTTTGTTGATTTCTGTCGTGTTTTTCTGCACGAAATGTATTGCCACACGTTCTTTGAATATTGTAGTAACCGCATCTGTGCATTTTGTAACCTGTAATTGTAGATATAGTTATTTAAATATGCCTACCGACAATGACTGAAAATAGTACTATTTTATGAATATTAGCTTCCGCGGTGATGCGGCCGTCAAACCAGCTGTTTCAATCAGAGGGGGTTTATTGTGATTTAATAGCCTCTGATTGACCATCCGAATCGAGTTAATTCCAAATTAATGGTAGAATTAGGAATTGACCTTCACCTTGTGTGAATTCATTGGAGTATGAACCTTCATAGAGTGAGGGCCAAACTGTATGAACGTCGGAGCTTGCAAAGGGAAAGTCAATTCTTATAATTTTTTTATCACAATTTCTTACCTCAAATTATATAGGCCAAGATCTAAACACAATTTTATTTAGTACGTGTGACTTCATGTTTACACTGACAGCCATACAACAACCAGCTATATCGCGGAGTAAACTGTAAGTTCCTCAAAAAGAAAGGGGACATTGGCGTATGGATGCACAACTTGCTCTTCAGAAACATCTTACACAGCACATCTGTTCAAATCATATCCTCATTAGATGAGAAAGGTCTGTAAAGAACTACCTCAGTAAGTCAGTCACAATGACAGAGCGTCGAAATACATTTACATCAAGTACAAGACGTCAAAATGGCCGACACGATAAATGTGACGGGAGAGATTTCCGAAGTTGTAAATGAACCTGTGGCGGTTACATGTGTTAGTCATTGATCAACTGGCCGATCACTGAAAGGTGAATAAAGATGCGTCAAACAGACACTAAGGCAAATTCATAGATTGCTGGAGACGGTCAATGTCAGCCTAGGCACGGATCGAGTCGATACTACGATAGTTTAGATGTGCCTTTGATCGTTTGTTCACTAGGATAGGCCGCAGCGAGGATATTCGTGAACAATCATGCATGCAGTCACGCTCTGACATTTCTCAATGTATACTGAAATGCGGAGACCAAGAATAAAGGTTCCAAATGATCAGAAAGAACGATTATGTATATATATCTGCTCTTAATGTATTGAAAATGAGACACATAAGAATAACACATTAATATTCAAATAGCAATTTTAAATTAAATTCTCACCTGTCAATTTGGGAGTGACGTGTATTTTCCACGGTACGACCTCCACTGACACTGATGAGATGAGCTATCTGCCGCGGTAGTAACACGGAGTACGGAGAACAGCAAGCAATATAGAAAATAAGCATGCGAAATTAATTATTAATATCCCGAATTATGAAATATAAGTACAAGTGCAATTAGACTTTGATTTTGCTACTTTTACACCTGATAACAGCAGATTTGTATCTCAGGGGTCTCAGTGCAGTAAGGAATAATGCCCAACATTAATTAGTACTCTGCGCGGATCAAAGGCGTCATACTGAGCCACTGATGCAAGATATTTTGTGAGATTACATTTAGGCTATATTAGTTGGTTTAAGTAGACAATTGACATGTGTGATACAAAGAGTAGTTTTCATAGCCTTACAATACCCCTGCCCAGCTACCAAGCTGTCAGTTAACCAACCCCCTGGATGCCACAGGGACATATTTGTCCCTCCTCTACAACCATCACTTTGAAGTCAAATAAAATTCAAAATACATCATGGACACTAATACACTTTACAGTTTTGGATAAGGCGGGAGATTCCCTGTTCTGTGATATCATCCACTGACATTTTAGGCCAAGCAAAAGTACTGAACATGACCTCTGAAAATTAGTTACTTCGTAAATGTCGCTATTTTTTACACATTACTAAATCACCACTCACCGCGTATATACAGCATGTTTTGAAATCTAAATTTCGGAGAACTGAATTTCAAAAATAGCATATAAGTGATCACGGGTATCTGTCTTTTTATGAAATCACCAATGATCATTCCAAAACGTCTCCTATAACCCTAGAATCGTTTAGAATGTTTTGGAAAATACGCAAACACGAACGCCGAAGTGAACTTTCCGCCATATTGGATAGTGTTTACAAAATCACGTTTCAGGTACATCGGTTATGAGGCGCCTGTAACATTACGATTATTTCAAACTTAGCTGCGATACACACATCCTTGAATTCCTCATACATTACAGAATCGAATGACCAATGTTTTTTGTAACCCAAATAAAGTAGCTAGATGAAATCCAGCAAAATATGTTAGGTGTGAAAACGAAAGCTGTGCTCGAAAGACTGCACTTGTTTGAAATGTAAAACAAAGCTGAATACAGATTTTACACAGTGTAGCATTTTCTCCTATTTTGAGCTATCCATTCGTCTATTCGTTCAAGATATTGGCTCGACATTTTCAGAATATGCATGGGAAGAGAATCGTAGGAAGAATTAGGGAATTTATAATAGATACATTGACAATTTCTGTTGAAAATATCAAATCATTGCAAAGATACCGTCCTGTGTGACGCCATGACTGACGCAAAATCACGCACAACGACAACGGTGTTTATCGGAATTTCTGACTATTTCCGTTTGTTTCAATGAAAATTATAACAACAAATAACAGAATGTTTCTGATTACTTACATGTAGAATTTATCTATATACGATCCCTGAATCTACGAATGTCCCCTCGTAAAATCCCGCGTACTGTTGACAGTGAACACGCCATTTTGTAAAAGTCGGTCACAGGTAGTGATGTCATTCGTCAATATTGTTGTACATATTTGGTAATTTCTTTTAGGTGAAGGTCCGTGCATGGGAGGGCACACGATCATTGTAACATGCTGTTTTCAGTTTCAGTTATGATGTAAATTTTGCATATCTTTTATACATTTTTTTCATCAAAATTAATTTCACTTTGGATATTTGTCAATGTTCAAAATGATATCATACGTAAATATAGGCCACACTATGTATGAACGAACCTTTGATAATCTCCTGTTTGTTTGAACATTGTTTACATAACAATTGATTGTTTTTTAGCGTCGAAAACGATATTCCTTTTCTTTGGACAAGTGTTACAAGATGAAGAGTAAATGTAACTGCAGCATGTACGTATTTCTTGGGATGTGCAATAATCAATATTATAAGTTCATATTAGCAATGTCCAAGAACAGCCTTTTCATTTTATTTTATAACCCAAACTGAATATATTACTTTCACAATTTTTCGGTAAAATATATGCACACATTTCTGAAAGAATTGTCTTTTTTTATGTCGTTTGATACACAGAACAGTGATATCTAACGATTCTCCAGGTGCGCGTTAGTCACAAACAATTTACGAATTATTCCTCTCGTTTTGCAATATATAATCAATGGATTCATTCTTTTTTTTTCAGTATTGTGATCAGAGGATATTAAACTGCTTACTTAATTTCTCCAGGAATTGTAAAATGTATAAAATCAAATCCATGCCAGGTACTCCGTTGGTTCAACCTTAAACTGATTATCCTGATAATTCTATACCAATAGAGCTTTCTTCGCAACTTATATTGCGTTATTATGTGACGAGATGAAGAGAAATAATAACATAATAATGAGCAAATATATGTCCAATATTGAATATAATTTTGGTTGTTTTGAAATATTCTTTTAGGTATTTCATTACCTACATTGATGCCAAACAGGTGCGAGTCTTGTCCAGTTAAGATACACGATAAACTATCTGATTGTTTATATATTCAAGACATTATTTACTTGGTGAAAGCAGTCATTTTATGTTGTGTCGAAAAAGCGTCAAATTCCGTTTTACACATTGAGATTTTCCATACCATGAACGAAAATTAGGGGAGATATATATTTATCAAAATGCCAGTGCCGTCTTTCTCCGACGTTATCAAAGACATAAAACCAGCTATGACGTCAAAAGGAATGGTGTTATTATTTTGGTATTTCATTACATTTGATGATAAGGCTAGTGCTCCATGAATAATAGTGCAACATCAGTGAAATTACACTTACACAATCAGGAGAATGTTGGAATCTAAGGACTAAGTTATAGGTTAGATAGGGCCATCCATTTCTCTATTACCTCTTTCTTATGAAGTAAGACTTCATCATATCTTATGGATTTTTTTAATAACTAAACGTATACAGTTTCAATATGGATATTTGTGTTTAAATAGTTTGGTTCCTCGTGAACGAAACACCGCGAAAATACATTATCCTGACACACAGCTAATTCTCACCAATTGACCTGACTAACAATAAACTAGTGCTAAGCATAGCGGAGTTATGCACCCTTTTCTTTGTACGCATGTAACCTCTCTGTCGCCTTTTGACGTCATAGAGAAAAATCAGTTTTCGTCATTTACGGCAAGCTAATTTTGGCATTCAATGTATGTCGTTATACATACGCATATAACTCCATTTGATATATAGTTATGTCGTTCAGATATTAGGCAATATTTTGTTCGCTGACAGTTTCCTTAAAGCTTCTAAATAAAAAAATCGTCGCACAGGACTTTTATCGGTTTACGATAAAAAGCGGAGAAATTTACTGTTTTTCAACTCAGAATAAATTCTCGGACAACACTTAAAAATGTCATTTTTTTAAAACCGGTTTAATATTTGCAGTTATCTTTACACCATCAAATAGGATATTTAATATTCTCCACCTCTGCGTAATTTTATAGTCAGAGGTATATCCAGTGCCGCGTGAGCGCAATTCTCGCACAGAGGGTTAACTCGACCTCCAGAGGGTTAAATGATTAACACTACCCTTAACATGAACTGTATTCGATCAAGTTAAAATGACTGCGTGACTAGACAAATCAACTATTTATACCCGATAAAAGAAACTGCCTTATTTTAGCAACAGTGCTTTTACGTGACATTTGAAATTTTTAACTAGCAGATACATTACAGACAATGACTATATGTACGTAAGCGGTATCAGTCAAAGGTGTCAAAAAACTGAAAATCATATCGGTCGGAGACCCACCAAATTACCAAGTTTTATTAATTACTATATTTATTACAATGCAAATACGTTAGTGATACATTTTTTTCAGAGGAGGGGGCATACACACAAGAATGTTATTGCTTGTGTGTGAATGCAGGTTATACTTGGCATCTCAGTTCTCAGTTTCTTACCGGTGGTATATCTGAATTTGTATATGGAACCATGCATACAGCATGACAATGACTTGCTAGTCGTCAGTCTACACCACCAAAAATACGCTCAAACAATTTTGGGCACCGCTTTTGCAAGTTGTTAGTACAATATTTTATTAAAATCTATTTCAATTTGTTTTTGAGGATTTCTATGGAGAGTGGCGGACGTAATTCAAACTCCTTCCACACTGACACCGCATCAAAGATATTTGTGTACCGATTACATCACTCTTACTGACAGGGTAGGGTGGTAGTTCACGCGAAACGGACGGCACTGTGTTTATTGGGCGGCGCCTTTGATATCGCCTCCAAACAACTTTTATTGAATGACCCATTGAACGATGATACACATCTCGTTGAATATATCAAGGCACCAATTTATCTTTCATAAACCATTTGTGTCTTTGTGCTTAATATATCCACATATCAAAATTTATAATACACGTATCCACAAAAATATATTTATATACATGCCAGGTATTTGGCCACAACACCTGCATAGCTGTTTATTCACGCGTGGTGTGGCAGATTGTAATTGAACAAGAGCAGGTATTGTAGACTCACCTGTAAATAAGGCAGACACTGTAATTGGATACAAGGTACTAGAGAGAATATGAGAATTATCATAAGGAGGCTGTGTTTTTTTTCTCCTTCTGAACTATTCCCACTTTTCATTCTAAAAGTGGCAATGCATTTTAAAAGTTGCTTTCGTGTCTCAAAATTAACTCAAGTTTTCATCAATCGCCTTTATGCATATAATTCCCATGGGTGCCATTTGTCTGTTCGACGCCGCATATAATTGAATAATTACTTCGAGATTTCGTGAGAATGTGATATATTCTGCCAGACGTTATGCAATGAAAGACGAATCTTTTTTGTCCAATAAAATACGCGCACGTGTACCTGTATATTGCACACCTAGTGTCACTTAATAGCCCAGTGTGATTAATGGAACATATCGGGAACGCAAAATCCACTGGTAATCCGCGGTTAACATTTTACTACAATACACAAGACCAAAGATGCAACAGGCCGGGTTCTTCCGCTCTGTTGCCTCGTCTTTGTAAGTCATCATAAACAATGTAACGAATAGATATGTAACAACGAGACATAAAATGGGAAATGAAAAACAAACTAACTAAACTTCATTGTTGTGGAAAATAACGCCAATGAATTGGAGTACACTCGGATGAATTCGTATGATAAGCTATAAATATGTTTTGAGAGGTGAGGCCGGGTTCATTAAAGATCGTTACAATATGTACAAAAGGTGAAATTTGTAACATTTCTATAGAGGTAACATCCAACCAAAGGGGGCGGTCGGGTAGCCTAGTGGTTAAAGCCTTCGCTCGTCACGCCGAGGACCCGGGTTCGATTCCCGACATGGGTACAATGTGTGAAGCCCATTTCTGGTGTCCCCCGCCGTGATATTGCTGGAATATTGCTAAAAGCGGCGTAAAACCATACTCACTCACTCCAACCAAAGGCCCTTTTTATATAGTAACGTAATGATATAATATCAAGTCTATTTCACATAATACAATATACTTTGCACACAATTAGTTAATGCGTTAAAGTGACTAGAGAAAACATGGGCGAAATATTTTAATAACGCCACAAATTAGTTGAATTAAGTTAAAATGAGTTGAATCATGTCTCACGATGCTTGTAGAAAAAAAACCTTGATGTATTTGCCAAAGAAAAAGATGAGTTTTGAGCAAAGGAAAATATTCTCGCCCATGAGCGAAACCTTTTCACATCAGGATGTTTTTTACATTAATATAGGCCAGCATTTGTAATACATCTGTGTCTGCCATGCATGATACAGCGCAATAACAAGAAGAATCTTCATGATCGGCGCACCAATGCACAGTGGACAGCATCTTGTGAGGAAGGTATTATTTGTCAGTGTTACTACAGGTGAACTGGCTGTCTGCCTGTCAGCCTGTCTGCACAACCAACGGACGAATGGGTTGTTGTTAGAACAATGTGGTCACTGTTGTCCATGCCCGAGGCGATGCTCATCCGTATAAGGGTCTTAACAAATATTGGTCAAAATATTGTTTCCCCAGGCTAACATTAGCGCCAGTTCACGCATGCTCGAACTATGATGGACTTTTTTAGAATAGTTTCGACAAAAATGTTATTGCTTTTGGTCTTTATTTCAAATAGTAAATTATGTTGGCAAAAGTTCACTATGTATGTTCTGATCTGCTTCACTGCTATCGTTTGTGTACGGCAAGGGCGTGTTCTCATCCCATATCTAGTTTCTATGTTTGTTAACTGAAGTATGAATTAGCGTGGCTACTGAATCTATTTACACCAGCAAACACTTTACGGTGCCAACTACCAGTTGATATTTGCAATGTAAGGTGGTTGTCTTTAAAACAGCAATCGAGAATTAAAATAAGATATGTAAATGTGATCGCCTGGCATATGTGCTGTTTTACTTATACTTGGAATTTGTTGTAGCATTCAGCAAAACAACAGATTCGGCAAAAGCACTTCCAACGTCCTTTGATTAGGATACTAAGTATATGACTGTATAATATTTAGTATATGAGTGTTAAATATTCAATATTTTTTAACGCTTTGAGTTAGATAATGTAACAAATACCCTCTTGCTAATATTTTGGTATAAAAACTGTTAAACTCCATATAGCACGAAGTTGTACCAATGTTGCAGATATCCATTGCATCATTTTGTATCTATAAATGGATTAATTGGCCAGATGCTAGTTGTCACATTAAATAACCCATAACGGTGGGACGTATGCGTTCGGTCTCTGAAGAAAAATACTTACTCTTTAGAATTGGGTTTATAAACGATCGCTAAACTTCGAGTTAAAATTAGACGTTTTCAAGTTTTGTGTGGGCTTGTTGAGTTTAGTCGTCATCCATTGGTGACAATAAAGACTTGTAAAGTAGTGAGATGTCAATGCTGCTTACAGAACATACATTTAGCAATAACATGCTGATAGACATGTTTTCTGACAAGCTAATTGTCGATTTGGTTTGGCAGCTTTATTCGATATACGATTTACCATATATATCTGTGTGAAAATGAAGATATAGAAGAAAGAGTTGATATGAATCGTGTCGGAGTATTAGAGTTATCTGAAGGAAGTGCAATGTACTACGAATAACAATAGCAAGTCTATTGAGTAGCCATAGAAGGTTCCAAATGAGATATAGAAATAAACAGATCAATGCAAATGTATCTGTATCATTTATATAACATACACGGACAGTAGAAAACTAATATGTCGGCCTCTGTCTCACCCCAGTGGCATGTTGATGATGTAACAAAGTTACATTAACTGGACAGATGTGTCTTGTTCAAAGTCTTGGCTGCTGTCTATTACATGAGATATGAATGTGATGGACTGTGTCCAGGTAATTAATGAATCACCCTGTCAAGAACAATAGATTATACTCAGAGTCCTGACACCCGTGTTGGCTATATAAACCGTAGATAGCCTCTCTTTAACACACTGACCACTCTTCCTCCAGTTCCACACGTTGAGCACTACAACAGGTGAGTTGCTTCTATTGTTTTGTTATTTGTTTGTACGTTCTCTAATTGCATTTGGCCCTATTTATCTTAAGCATCTACAACACGTGTTTTGTCGTATGTAACATTTTTTACTTAAACCTATAACGATTCCATATCGTGAAAACTCCTTCGCAACCATAACGTGTATGTTTTCTGTCACATCTCGAATCGTTGGTATCACATTTATCTAAGAATCCAGTCAAATTATACACAAGACAGTTGGAAACTACACAATAAACGTTCCATATATTAGTACTTACATTAAAATACTATACGATATCTGTTTCAGAAGACAACAAAATGACGGCATTCAAGTTTGCTGTTCTTGCGCTGTTTTGTGTCGCTACCAATGGTGAGAAGCTTTACCTTTCCTTGATACAATCCTTGTCTAGATACATTTTTTGTTTTGAAATGTGTTTTATCGTGGCAGGACAAGTCAGTTTATACACACATCGTCTATATTCTATCACAACGGTACGCTGAGCCATATATTGCTTACACAGACACAAATGTTTGCAGATGAAAATTACACTATATGTAGTTTTAAGTAATTCATGATAAACGGTTGTTGGATTACCGATATTTGAGGTGAAAATGAAAACCCTATCGAGAACACAGCTCCAGGTTACACGAGGGTGTACTTGGATGCAGGTTTCCGACATCTCACATAAATAAATGATACTTGAGTTGCAGATACATCCGTATTTGTACACATTTCTTTACATCTTATGTTGCAAACATTGAAGAATATTACTTCATATTCATAAATCTTGTTCTTTTCGTCTTCCAGCACAAACTCCAGCTGTCTTGGGAACTGGAATGACAAACCCCACAGGCACGAGCAACACAGGCGGCACAAATGGTGCAGGGAGTACGGGGGTAGGAATGGGTGGAATGGGTGGTATGACTAATCCAATGGGTGGTATGACTAATCCAATGGGTAGTATGACTAATCCAATGGGGGGTATGCCTAATCCAATGGGTGGTATGACTAATCCAATGGTTGGCATGAATAGTCAAATGGGTGGCATGAATTATCCGATGGCCGGTATGGGCAACCCTATGGCTGGTATGGGTAGTCCTTTCGGAGGTATGAATAGCGGGTATGGCATGGGAAGTCCTTACGGCGGTATGGGTAGTCAATTCGGGGGTATGGGAATGGGGCCAATGGGAGCAGCAATGGCTAATATGGGTGGAATGATGGGAGGTATGAATGGTCAAGGTTCTGGACAGTCTCAAAGCTCTTCTGGTAGCAATATGATGCTTCCTCTGATGATGGGCGGTGACCAAGGAAGAAACATGTATTTGATGTCTCAAATGATGGGAAGACAAGGCGGCGGCAGCATGCTTCCTTACTTCGCCATGAATGGTGGACTAGGAGACAACATGATGAACATGCTTCTCTTCAGCGGTATGGGTGGAATGGGAGGCGGCCGTGGTGGTCAAGGATTTAACCCCATGATGGCCATGGCTCTCAGCGGCGGTGAAATGAACAACATGCTCCCATTGATGTTCCTTAATCAGGGAAGAGGCCAGGGACAACAAGGCGGTATGCAGGGCGGTATGCAGGGCGGTATGCAAGGCGGTCAATCAACAGGAATGAACAGTGCTCTTCCTTTCTGGCTCCTTGGCGGACAATTCTAAATTAACAATCATCCAGTGGACCTCGCCTGACTTTACTGATTGCGTGTGAATTGTCAATTCTTTGAAGAAATCTCAGATTCATCATCCCGACACTAGAAGATGCCCAGCTTGTTTTGACGCTCCAAACAGTTACCAGATAGGGTAGATATGTTTCAGTGTAGTTTTTGAATGATGCAACATGAATGCATGTATAATAATATTTCCCAGTGCACCTGGCACCTACAGTACTTACTGAGAGATGACAGTGTTAAGAATCTGCCTCTGTTATGAGGCAGTGTTATGACACTTCATCTGCTCACACCGTGTGTCTATTGTTCTGAAATAAAAATTTGCATTCTAACATTTTTTTGACATTTTTGAATTTTTTAAATTATTCATCCTGTCTTTGCCCCTTTTCATTGACATTGTAAAATAGCATTCTTTCTCGTGTGCGTTGTTTAAATTTAGTCTTCCATAATGAAGCTCGATATTCGTTAAAATCTTGGAACTGACGGTGTATATATATGTCTTCTTGAAAACAAACATTCCAGATTTCATTCATATAGGTGCAACTAATAAATGAACAATTGTTATTGTTTATAATTTTATTATGTGACACCACAACACCTGGCCTGACTGGTTGAATGTCTGCACTGAATACAAAACACACCTATACTTACTAAATGTCTAATCTGACCACTAAACTCACAATTTACTTGGTGAAAACCTACCCTATCTACCAAACACACATATACTGACTAAATGTCTGAACCGACTACAAAACACACACAACATACAGATTGAATGTCTTCCTCGACAGTCTTCAACCGACTTCAAATCACACTATATACTGAGTGAAAACCTACCATGACTTAAAAAACACCTTATTGACCGAATGAAGACAGACAGAATACGATTTGATAAAATCTGAGCCCCTCCTCATGGAGTTACGAACGACTTCTAACACGATCAATACAAAAATAACACACTCACGATATAATACCTTCAAATTGAATGAAAAATTCAGCTACAATATCAGATATTGTACCTAAATCCAATATCAGCTTGCTTGCCACACATATTATATAATATAGGGCATGACAAAATGTAACACACTTTCTGCATCTTTAGCATACATAAAAAATCCAAAACATCCCATCATTCCACCCTTTTCTTAACTAGTTATTTCCTACAGACGATATATAAAGTACAGTTTATCAACAAGTGCAACTCATATTCTACAACATTTCGTCAGTGAAAGCATAAACTATCTTCTAGTAGGGTGTTGCAATAATAACCAGTTTCAACATGGATCGGGGCGACTCCTCAGCAGAACAACGATAACGCTCTGCCTGTCTTGTATACACGCAGCAGGTCTCCTCCACTTCCCCTTGCACCCTCATGTGGTTGGTTGGTTGGTTTGTTGTTTAACGCCGCACTCAGCAATATTCCAGCTATATGACGGCGGTCTGTAAATAATCGAGTCTGGACCAGACAATCGAGTGATTAATATCATGAGCATCGATCCACGCAATTGGGATCGATGACATGATCAACCAAGTCAGCGAGCCTGACCACCCGATCCCGTTAGTCGCCTTTTACGACAAGCATAGTCGCCTTTTACGGCAAGCATGGGTTGCTGAAGACCTATTCTCCACCCGGATCTTCACGGGTCACCCTCATGTGGAGAAATCGATGTCCTATAAACTTCTTCAAAACGATGATAAACTGCTTTCCTGTCAGAAGATACAGTCTGTTTAATCAATTGACCATTCGAAATGTTAGACACATATTCCAGATCAAGAGAACGGAATTTATCTCTAACTCGAAATAATTTCATACTTTAAAGTTTACACTGCTTCTGTCATGCTGATTGGCTGAATGGGTAGTCTCCTGAACTGATATTTGGAGTCCACAAACCTGTGAACGGACAGGAAAGTTCACACGATGTGAACAATATTTTGTGAAACTGATCGTGTGAACTTCTGCCGGTACTACTTTCTGGGGTTTTCCCGAACTCTCGGTGTTTGGAAATCAGCTCATCTTTCTTTTTTTCTTTATCTTTTATAATCCCTTCATTTTCAGTATTATACTTATTTTAGTATTTTTGCCTGGTTCTGTAACATTTTATCTGACTTAAAAATGCATAACTGCTTTGGTTCTGGTGTTTTTTGTTCTCTTCTAAAACAAATGGATTGTCCTTGCGGTGATTTGGATGGCTATGGAATGGCTTTCTATGAATACTAGTAACGCAAGTGAAGAAAATGCAAAATTACTAAGGTGAACCAAAATTGATTTATTGAGCGATAGTTACTGATGCCTTGTTTTCAGGAATGACTGAGGAATCTAGCACCACGACAATTGCGAATGACGTGCCCCCCGACACAGAGATCAAAGCGACTGATCCTGATCAACCCAAACCATAAAACCTGATTCACTGTTCTATATCGGAAGAAAACCTCCACGATTTTGAAAAACAAAGGCACAGCAAATCTCCAATGCAAAACACCTAAATGGGCTCTGAAAATGTTCAGTGGTAAGCCAAATGAAATAAATCTTGCTTTTAAAAAAATAAGCCATGAAAAAGTACGAAAAGAAGCTTATAATTACAAAAAAACAAAACTTGCCTACATGTACCTGTTTATAGATTGGTCATCGGGGACGCGAAAAATATCCGTAGGGTGGATTACTATTCCGGTTTCTGAGTTGGCCGACCTTCTCCGTGCATTCTTCGAAAAAACGCGGCGGCACATGAGGAAGGAAAGGGCACAGAAATGGCACTAGCATTAGATCGTACAGTAGGTCCATTTCAGGTGACAAGAAACATCAGCTAAGCAAAGTGTAACAGGAAATCACACACGACAAATCCAAAACTCTAAATATAACACACATAACATGACGTTCAAACACAGAACACAAGTTTCAGAGCACTCAGTTCAATCCCCACCAGTCCATTCCACTTCGTCCGAATTGGCTTGCAATTATCAAAAACACAAGCAACACCTTCACAAATCAGTCATAGTGCTAGTGCCATGGGCTGGTTCATGCCTCGGGTGTTTTCCATAACTATTAAATAAACTTCACTTGAAACAGAACTAAGTTAATTTCATCCTCATGCTCCCGTTCGATTCGAAATGCACCTCTGTACAAACTTCTGTGACGTCATATATAAATCCGCACTTGAAGGTTGACCTTGCCTCGGTGCATCGAGTCATGTTTATATTTCTATTCACTTTCTTGTTGCCTTTTGTTAAGATTAGATTAATCTCAAACATTATTTGTCAAAAGACTAAAATTATTTTTCTTTACATATCTGAGTTGGGAAATGATTGATTGATTGATCATTATAAGTTTTATTATAGGTGTTCGGGCAACTAGGCCAATTTACACCTTGCCCATAATAAAGGTTTGCTAAGTACCAAGCTATTTCATAAAGTAGTAAAACTGCCACACGCTTAAATATAAGCAAGAATGACATTCTGAACTTCATGAAGAGCGATATTCCTAGAACATAAAAGTCCAGCTAATGAGAGGTTAATATTGAGAACTGAGAAAGAATCCACCATTGCCTCACGCTGATTGACATACGTACTTTTTGCAATGCAGTAAATAATGAGCAACATTGTCAAGCTGATGATAACACACTGTACAATGTGCAGAAATGTCTTTATTAATAACATTGAGTTGGGGAAAGTATGCGACCGAGAGCCGGCAAATGCTCTGTTGCAATGTTCTTCAGCAAAACCAGAGAACTTCAAAGTAAGCAATAATTGCTTCGATATTGTCGACAAGACCAGTAAATTACAAAGTATGAAATTATAAGCGCTGGTTAAACTTTCGTGTGAACCTCCTCGCAAGATGGGAGGTTCAAACTCTTTAACCAGAGCTTTTAAATCGTTCACACTTAAATGAAACCATCCACACTGACGTTCAATTCTTAAATGACCAATTTTCCACTGTAAGTTCACCTGGTATGGTAACCTCCCAAAACCCCTACATCCCATTTCCCCTACAGCTTAAGACAACAAAGTTCACGGTCCATGGCACTGCTAATCCCTAGTCTGTTACCTATTTCATACAATGGAACAACCCCAAGAAACTCGAATAGATTGAGATAAATATTTAATTACGATTACGATATTATTCAAAATTCATAATACATTACAATAAAATGTTCATTTTTCAAAATTCATAATACATTATAATAAAATGTTCATTTTTCAAAATTCATAATACATTATAACAAAATGTTCATTTTTCATCCCAACTGTAAATCGTCTCATCTCAGTTTCTCAGTGTAATAATTGTTTCTTCCTATTGTTATTTTTGTAATTTCTAAAAATTGTATTCTCATCATACAGGCATCTTTCATCACACTTGCATTAATTCTTTTTTGTTTAAACTTTCCTTTAAGTCCCCTAATCCCCTAAAGCTCTACCCCTTTCATTTCTACTACCTCTACTCCAGACCTTAATCTCTCCTTTAGGTGAGTTCCTGGTATCACTTAAAGCCCCATCTGCGGTAGTAACTACCGCACTCTAGTGGGCGGAGCTTGTACGAGTGATCTGACAGGTCAATATGACGTCATGATAACACACACATTTCATTGGTTAATGCGTAAACGGGTGACGTCATGTAAACACCCACCAACGTGGGCCGTTTGACAACATTGACGTATGTTTTAATGGTAATATGAATATCTATCAAACGATTCCAAGACTTTTCAACAAACACGAAGGTCTTTGGTTTCAATACCTACCTGCCATGTCGTCTTCACATCTTGATAAAACGATACCGTGGAATGTCCACGATTTATCCAACACAGTCCAACACACAATTTATAGCTATTCTAGATCTCTGGACGAGAACGAAATACGTTTGTCGTGATGTATAAGAGCAGTGTAATTGAACAAAAAACATAATATGTGTTACGGCACCAATCGTTTTCCTGTGGTGTACGGTATATCGGCAGTTTATAAATAGCCTTTGTCACAATATTTTCGCCAATCAATGATTTCAACAGTGTTTTTTCTTCGTTGTGTTCGTCTTGCCTCATCTGGAATCTGGATGACAACGATCGTGTAAAAAACCCTGGTAATGATCAAAAATATTTTCAAGTAATCAAAGTAGTTTTTTGTCTTTTCCGTGACATGTTTTCATTGCCCAGTAGCAATGTATTTTGGCAAAGTCACACTTGTCCGATGAAGCTCCTCATGCCGAAGTAACTCGATCCGTGAAACTCGGCGGGTCCCAGTGACCCAGATCCCTGTTGATTGGCATGCCAAGAGTCATTTGCAGAAGGCCATCCATATTTTTTGTATGTGTTTCTCCCCTCAAGCCCCAACTAACCAGAGAGCGGGC